GGGGGGCCGAGGGGGATGGAGGGGGTCTCTGTGGGGGCTGGGGGGGCATCTGTGCCCCTCCAGTCAGGAAGGGCTGGGGGGGGGCATGGAGCTGTCCAGGCCCTGACACGCAGTAGGGGCCATGGCAGGGGCAAGGGGGTGGAGGTCATGGCTGTGGGGTGCTGTGCTATGGATGGCCCCAGGGCCCCGGCAGAGGGGCCCAGCCAGCCTGAGCTGAGCCCCACCAGCTTCCCTGGGCTGAGGCAGGGGAGCGCAGCCATCGCGAGGGCCGCATACCCTGGCACAGGCCGTGATGTCAGGTCGGGGGTCAGACTCCTGGGGCCCTTCGGGGTTCTGCCCTGGTTCCTGCCTGTGCCTCAGTTTCCCCACCTACCCCAGGCAGCTAGGAGGTGGAGGGGACAGATGCCCCCCCACCAAGTCCCTTATGCAGGCCCTCAAGCTCCCCCCAAGCACAGGCCACGACCCCTGTGACCTGTGGGGGTGGGGCCTGGCTGGCTCCGCCCATGCACCTGTCCCCAAACAAAAGGCTTTTGTCTCACCTGGGTCTAGTCCCCTTCAGTCCCCCACCCTCCCCCTGCCCAGCCTGGCACATCCCCTGGCCCAGACTGGAGCAGGCTTCGGACCAGGGCATTGGGCCTGGTGCGGAGCAAAGGGATGTAGGTTGGGAGTGAGGGGCACGGGCAGGGCTGGGGGTGCAGGGGCTGCAGGTTGGGAGTGCGGGGCACGGGCAGGGCTGGGAAGCTAGGGGCTGCAGGTCAAGCATGAGGGGCACCACAGGGCTGCCCACCCCCTCCCCGGCCCTGTGCCAGCGTCCCTTGGCCCCACCCGGCCGCACCCTGGGTTTGGGGCCTGTCTGGGCTGGGGGTGGGTTTCCGTGGCAACGCCACCGGGGCTGGGCCCATGCTGACGCGGGAGCGGGCACACGCCTGGACATGTATGGCAGCACATGTGGGAGCCGCCCTGCCCCCTGCTGCCTGGCTTGGGGGCTGCGGGGCCTGTACAGGCCTTGTGGGGGAGGGTGGGTCTGGCTGCATCCCCTCACTGTGGGTGGGGGGGTCAGAGGGTCCCAAGACCTCTCCGGAGATGCAGACGCCGTGGCCCGGATCGGGCCCATCCCGCCCTGTCTCCTGCCTGGCGCCAGCTGCAGCCCAGCAGGCCCAGACCTGTGTGGGGCGGAGGCCAGATCCAGTGCCGGGAGCTGGGGGCAGGGGATGGCGGGGGTCTGGCATACACCTCCCTGAGAGCCTGGGAATCACGCCCCCACCCCAAGCCAGGAGGGGACCCAGGCACCCGGGCTCTACCCTGCTGCCCCCCATAAGCCAGGGCGGGGGGAGAGGGAACCCAGGCGTCTGGGCCCCCGGGTGCAGGGCGGTGCCGGCTGC